AAAGTTTGCGGCATAGAATCTTTAAAATACGTCCAAGAGTTTTACACACCGGTCTCTTATTGTGGCGACATTTCCATGCCCCGAAATGTGACGCTGAACGAAACGAACTGTGATTGGTTGTTTGACACGTCGGTCAAACCGCCTCATGGCCTTGGCCAAAGAAAGCTGCCATGCATTCCAGACCTTCAGCCGTCAATCTGAATTTTATTGCCATCCAATTTTATTGATTTTATTGCCATCCAAATCCAGAATGTCGGTGTTCCCTGGTCGAATTACCTACTGTTTTTTATTTTTTTAAACACCAAGGTCGTGTGGTAATTTAATTGCCATCCGAATCCACATCTCTGAGTTTACAAGAAGAAATCGATTCAAAATTCAGTGTTCAAAACCTTTTTGACAACTGCCGAACACCGTACGGCAACTGTTGTACTTCACTGTAATTTGCATACATATTTTTTTCTGAAATGCTGGAAAGTATTTAAAAGAACAATACTTCATAACCGCTCCATCACAGCGACTGGGAGCAGAAAGAGAAGAAAAGCACGTAAACATTCGAAATGGGTCTTTATTATGGCAGCAGCAGGTATGCAATACAATTTTAAAATTTGTATTGTACACAATTATAGAAATAAATGAACTTTTCCACGACATTCTAATTTATTGAGATGCACCTGTATATCGCGTATAATTATACTATATACAACTATAGTACCTCTATTTTCCTATTTTTAAACAGGAGATTTAAATAATCAAATAATAAATATGATTATATATTATAAGATATGCTTGGAATAAGAATACATTTTACATAATACTAAAAATACATTTGTAAATAAAATTCATTTTATTTATAGCAGACAATCATGTGACTGGCCACATGAGCAGTGTGTTCCCGGGTTCGTAGGATCACAGAACTCGCTCCTCCAATGTGAATAAATCGCCATCCGAATCCATGTGTTTTATCACTGAGGTGATATGTAAATTTATTTTTACAGACGTCCATATGAGAAACAATTACTGTCCGAATAGGGCTAAAGATGGAGTTTCTCCCCTAAGAACAATATCTAAAGTTTTATTCTTGTATACAATTTTGCTTCATGATATAAATGATATAATTATGCTTTATTACGTGTTTAAATTTATGTTCAAAATCTTCTTCTAATGCATAGTTTGTAAAAGGGTTTTACAGGTTCAAAATGTTCTTGTTCACTAAGCTGAAAAAGAGGCTGGTTTATTTTTTATTTCATCTTTGCTGTGTTTTTTTTTTTTAAACAAGTTATTCTTCCACTTGTGCATTTTACAAAATGCAGATGTAAGAAATACTGCCATGTAGGTTTGCATCTCATGCTTTTTCATTTTTATTCTCTTGAGATGTTTTGTTATCTTGTTAGTCAACGAAGAGAGAGATCGGTCTCATTCATTTCCACTTTTACTTTATATTTGCCTCAAGTATTAAACTTTTATTGTCTGCTGATTCTTCTTTCAGCAAGAATGAATAATTTCATAATTTTATTTACTCTTAAAAGCCTTTAAATATTATGATTGCTTTTGGGGTTTTCCATAATTAAATTTCTCGATAAAGCTTTTAAATGCCTAATAAACTATATTTCACCGCACACCTGACTCTGTCTGTCTACATCAGTAACTGTTTTACCATTAGTTTTACCATTATTTTTGTTTGATGCATTGTTTTACAGAGTTTTGCAGTTTTAAACAGAGTTTGGTGTGTTTTTGATCATCTACCGTGAGCAGTTCACGCTATGTCACATTATTGTAAAATACTCTTTACACAGTTTGTGTAATCAACATTTGTATGGAAATTAATATGTTCTGATTCTAGTTCAACTTTAATTAAAATTAAAACATGTCATTCAGAGAGCAGAGCTGAAAGTCAGATTCAGATGGTGGGAATTACTGTAGCTTTCTGTTGGGTACCAGCTCATGTAGGAGTAAAAGGAAATGAGTTGGCAGACAAATATGCAAAGGACACAACAAAGAAAATAGACATAGATATATGCAGTTAAAGTATAGGCCTAAGAGTGAAATGAAGTGTTTACTCGGACAACATGTGAAGAATAGACGGCAGAAACAATGGGAAGAAGAAAGACCAGGGAGATTAGTTTTATAGCATTCAAAGAGTTGTAGGTAAATATAGAGTAACAGGAAGAAATAGATATGAAGAAACTAGTCTCAAGGCTTAGATTTGGTCATACTGCTCTTAATAGCAATTTGAATAGAATAGGGAGACATAAAACATGACGTGTGAATATTGTAATCAGGAGGAAAAGGAATCAGGTGATAAAAGCTTAAAATTTTTAATATGGTATTTAAAGGACACTGGTTTATATAATAGAATATAGTGAATTAAAAGGTAGATTATGATCCTGACCCACACTCCTAATCAGTAGGTGGCGGTAATGCACCTAAAAGTTGTATACCATCCGCCATTAAAACACCAAGAAGAAGAATAGTTTTCAGTCTCGGTGCTATTTGTGTGCTTGCTAATACTTATAGGCATCTAAAGAAGTGTTGTAAATGGTAAGAGGGATCTATTTTGTTGTTATGAATGTAGTTGTTAGTAGTGATGGCAAAATGAGGCTTCCTGAACCGCTGAAACTTCATAGCCCATTGCTTCACCAAAAGGTTAATTACCCGAAGCTTCATTAAGCATTGCTCACTAGTGACACCTAGCTACTGTGCAAAGAAATAGCAGACAAATCAATGAATCCTGAGCCAATGCCTGAGAAGACATGTCCATTGCCTGGGTATAAAATAAATATATCTTTCTCTGTCTGGCTTTACTTGTTCAGAGACAACGGACACACACACAGTTAATTAATTATTCATTAATTGTCGGGACAGTGACAGTTCGAACAACAAAAGCGAGACTGTGTTGGGTGCAGTGCTTATGGGGGAGGGAGAGAAATACAGCAAACTGCACCAGAGCAATCTGGAGTGGGGAAAAAAATAAGAATTGTTACTGTTTTGTGCAGTGAAGTACAGAGTTCTGGCATGAAACTCTAGATGGCGCAGTCCGATAGGTCTAACTCAATCTGACCTAATGACATCATTATCACATGGCACAGCTGATTGGTTCTCTCCTGTATCAGTAGCCAATGAGCTCGCTAGTGTTTGCCGTAGCAGTTGCAGCTTGCTTCAGAAGCCCTCCACCTTCCCCAGCTCCACCTGTATAGATCTGCTACGAGGTGATTCATGTATGCTATATGGGGGTTATTTCATGTATCTTATATTTGCAGCAGCAATATTTCATACATGCTCACAGTAGCATGTTGTGGATGTATTGGCAGTAGCAAGTCTCGGTACTTGCTCTGCCGCAGCAGCAGCAGCAGCTTAGCAAATCTATTCCGCCAAGACCAAATACATTAGTTGGCATGAAAGAACTGTTACTAGTTTTTAGTGCAGTGTAGTGCTTATGGGACTGGGGATATAGTGGAGCAAACTGCAACACAGCAGTTTGGGGTGAGTGAAGGAAGGAATATTATAGATTTTTATTGAGAAACAGACGTTTTTGAAGTGTGTTAGGGTTTAGAAATTCCTCTTCTTGGACAAAACCTCTCTAGCCTTGGAAAAGGTCCTTTCACAAGGAACAGAGGATGCAGGGGAACATAAAAATGCCAATGCCAGCTGGTATAAGTGAGGATACTGATGCTTCTGTTGAGCCCAATATACTAGTGGATGCTCAGATCTTGTGAGTCTACGTCATTTTTACTACTTAAATAATAATGAACCACTTTATTAATCACATACCTTTCACGTACTGGGATAACATAAGCAGGGTTGCCAACTCTCACGCATTTGGCGTGAGACACACGCTTTTAGGCTCTGTCTCACGCTCTCACTCTGCCCATGTAGATCTCACGCCAAATGCGATATGAAACAAAGTCTCAGCTCTCAAATTTTGTATGTTTTAATACTAAATTCTAACAATAAATACCGTTTTGG